CACATTATAAGACACACCATACACACATTATAAGACACACCATACACACATTATAAACACACCATACACACATTATAAAACACCATACACACATTATAAGACACACCATACACACATTTTAACACACCATTCACATTATAAGACACACCATACACACATTATAAGACACACCATACACATACACACATTATAAGACACACCATACACACATTATAAGACACACCATACACACATTATAAGACACACCATACACACATTATAAGACACCATACACATATACACACCATACACACATTATAAGACACATCATACACACATTATAAAGACACACCATACACACATTATTATAAGACACACCATACACACATTATAAGACACACCATACACACATTATAAGACACACCATACACACATTATAAGACACACCATACACACATTATAAGACACACCATACACATACACACATTATAAGACACACCATACACATACACACATTATAAGACACACCATACACACATTATAAGACACACCATACACATTATAAGACACACCATACAAATTATGAGACACCATACACACATTATAAGACACACCATACACACATTATAAGACACACCATACACACATTATAAGACACACCATACACACATTATAAGACACATCATACACACATTATAAGACACCATACACACATTATAAGACACACTATACACACATTATAAGACACACCATACACACATTATAAGACACACCATACACACATTATAAGACACACCATACACACATTATAAGACACATCATACACATTATAAGAGACACCATACACACATTATAAGACACACCATACACATACACACATTATAAGACACACCATACACATACACACATTATAAGACACACCATACACATACACACATTATAAGACACATCATACACATACACACATTATAAGACACATCATACACACATTAAGACACACCATACACACATTATAAGACACACACATACACACATTATAAGGCACACCATACACATACACACATTATAAGACACACCATACACACATTATAAGACACCATACACACATTATAAGACACCATACACACATTATAAGACACACCATACACACATTATAAGACACACCATACACACATTATAAGACACATCATACACACATTATAGACACATCATACACATTATAAAACACACCATACACACATTATAAGACACACCATACACATACACACATAAGACACACCATACACATATTATTAGACACACTTCACATACACACATTATAAGACACACCATCATACACACATTATAAGACAGACCATACACATACACACATTATAAGACACACCATACACACATTATAAGACACACCATACACACATTATAAGACACATCATACACACATTATAAGACACACCATACACACATTATAAGACACACCATACACACATTATAAGACACACACATACACACACATTATACACACATCATACACATATTATAAGACACCATACACACATTATAAGACACACCATACACACATTATAAGACACACCATACACACACACATTATAAGACACACCATACACATACACACATTATAAGACACACCATACACATACACACATTATAAGACACACCATACACATACACACATTATAAGACACACCATACACATACACACATTATAAGACACACCATACACATACACACATTATAAGACACACCATACACATACACACATTATAAGACACACCATACACATACACACATTATAAGACACACCATACACATACACACATTATAAGACACACCATACACATACACACATTATAAGACACACCATACACATACACACATTATAAGACACACCATACACACATTATGAACCACCATACACACATTATAAGACACACCATACACACACATTATAAACACATCATGCACACATTATAAGACACACCATACACACATTATAAGACACAAAATACACACATTATGAGACACACCATACACACATTATGAGACACACCATACACACATTATAAGACACACCATACACACATTATGAGACACACCATACACACATTATAAGACACACCATACAACACATTATAAGACACACCATACACATACACACATTATAAGACACACCATACACATACACATTATAAGACACACCATACACATACACATTATAAGACACACCATACACTACTATAAGACACACCATACACATACACACATTATATGACACACCATACACATACACACATTATAAGACACACCATACACATACACACATTATAAGACACACCATACACATACACACATTATAAGACACACCATACACATACACACATTATAAGACACACCATACACATACACACACATTATAAGACACACCATACATACACACATTATAAGACACACCATACACATACACACACTTATAAGACACACCATACACATACACACATTATAAGACACACCATACACATACACACATTATAAGACACACCATACACACATTATAAGACACACCATACACATACACACATTATAAGACACACCATACACACATTATAAGACACACCACACATACACACATTATAAGACACACCATACACATACACACATTATAAGACACACCATACACATATCTATAAGACACACCATACACATACACACATTATACACACCATACACATACACACACATTATAAACACACCATACACATACACACATTATAAGACACACCATACACATACACACATTATAAGACACACCATACACATACACACATTATAAGACACACCATACACACATTATAAGACACACCATACACATACACACATTATAAGACACACCATACACACATTATAAGACACACCATACACATACACACATTATAAGACACACCATACACATACACACATTATAAGACCACCTATACACATTATAAGACACACCATACACATACACACATTATAAGACACACCATACACATACACACACAAGACACACCATACACATACACACATTATAAGACACACCATACACATACACACATTATAAGACACACCATACACATACACACATTATAAGACACACCCATACACATACACACATTATAAGACACACCATACATATACACACATTATAAGACACACCATACACATACACACATAGACACACCATACATACACACATTATAAGACACACCATACACACATTATAAGACACACCATACACATACACACATTATAAGACACACCATACACACATTATAAGACACACCATACACATACACACATTATAAGACACACCATACACACATTATAAGACACACCATACACACATTATAAGACACACCATACACACATTATAAGACACAAAATACAAACATTATGAGACACACCATACACATTATAAGACACACCATACACACATTATACACACCACACATACACACATTATAAGACACACCATACACATACACACATTATAAGACACACCATACACATACACACATTATAAGACACACCATACACATACACACATTATAAGACACACCATACACACATACACACATTATAACACACCATACACATACACACATTATAAGACACACCATACACACATTAAAACACACCATACACACATTATAGGACACATCATACACACATCATAAGACACACCATACACACATTATAAGACACCATACACACATTATAAGACACACCATACACACATTATAAGACACACCATACACACATTAAAACACACCATACACACATTATAGGACACATCATATACACATCATAAGACACACCATACACACATTATAAGACACCATACACACATTATAAGACACACCATACACACATTATAAGACACACCATACACACATAAGACATACACCATACACAATAATATTTATAAGACACACCATACACACATTATAAGACACCATACACACATTATAAGACACACCATACACACATTATAAGACACACCATACACACATTAAAACACACCATACACACATTATAGGATACATCATACACACATCATAAGACACACCATACACACATTATAAGACACCATACACACATTATAAGACACACCATACACACATTATAAGACACACCATACACACATTATAAGACACACCATACACACACATTATAAGACACACCATACACACATTATAAGACACACCATACACACATTAAAACACACCATACACACATTATAGGACACATCATACACACATCATAAGACACCATACACACATTATAAGACACACCATACACACATTATAAGACACACCATACACACATTATAAGACACACCATACACACACATTATAAGACACACCATACACACATTATAAGACACACCATACACACATTATAAGACACAAAATACACACGTGCAGACACCATACACGCATTATAAGACACACCATGCACATACACACATTATAAGACACACCATACATTATGAGACACATACACACATTATAGACACACCATACACACATTATAAGACACACCATACACATTATAAGACACACCATACACACATTATAAGACACACCATACACACATTATAAGACACCATACACACATTATAAGACACACCATACACACATTATAAGACACACCATACACACATTATAAGACACACCATACACACATTATAAAGACACCATACACACATTATAAGACACACCATACACACATTATAAGACACACCATACACACATTATAAGACACACCACACACATACACACATTATAAGACACACCATACACACATTATAAGACACACCATACACACATTATAAGACACACCATACACACATTATAAGACACACCATACACACATTATAAGACACACCATACACACATTATAAGACACACCATACACACATTATAAGACACACCATACACACATTATAGGACACATCATACACACATTATAAGACACACCATACATACATTATAAGACACACCATTCACACATTATAAGACACCATACACATACACACATTATAAGTCACACCATATGTCATTTGAGTCACCATTATCCCTAAAACTTTGTAAAATACACTTGTGGTCCTCACCAGACACTCGGGATGAAGCACAGTAACAGCAACTGCACTTTATTCAATGTTCCACTTAAACCCGACAACACAGGGATATACTGAACTACCTTGTGTAAAACTGGAGGTAATGTTGGCAGTGTTACCAGTACAGTATTATACTTTAAGAGAATAATATCCTCAGTACAGTAATATACTTTAAGAGAATAATATCTCCAGTACAGTATTATACTTTAAGAGAATAGTATCCCCAGTAGAGTATTATACTTTAAGAGAATAATATCCCCCAGTACAGTATTATACTTTAAGAGAATAATATCCTCAGTACAGTAATATACTTTAAGAGAATAATATCCCCAGTACAGTATTATACTTTAAGAGAATAATATCCCCAGTACAGTATTATACATCTCCATCACATGTCTCCATGTCTCAAACAAAATTAAGTTGGATTACTTTACCCAGAAGACCGTGACTATTGTTGCCAAAGTGACGAAGTGTTTTCTTCTTCATGGAAACAAGGACTGAAACAGTTATGGTAGTTTTTCTTGACTACAACACTGAGAATATCTAACCTTTTTCTTTCTGTTTCACACAATGTTTATTTCTGACCACTTATATAATTTAGCAAACAGTAACCCAGACAAATTTGACCCACTCAGGTTGAGATACACCTACAAGTACATTAGCCCAACATACCAGTTACAAAAGGTTACAGACAGATTGGTGCAGTAGTTGTTAAAAAGAATAACATTATTTGTTTCATAAAATATAATTGTACTAGAGGTATTTATAAAATATATACTACACAATTATCATACAGCACTAAGTTAATTACTGTATTATGATAAATTTTTTTAGGACAGTAGGATTTCAGAGTATGTGTATGCGACCCTGCTTAAACGAGTCTGACCCGAGTCGCTCCTTACGCTTGGATCTTCCTCTCGAGCGAGCCAACCCACCTAGCATCTCACTTAAGCCATTGTGTTTAACACTTACCTATGATTGTTTGAGAAAAAAAAATCTAAATACTCTTAATATAACTTAGAAGTAAAAAAAATATAAAATTATCAAATAAGAAAAAAGACCAGTGAGAAATGCCTTATTAATCTACCCTATTTTTTTTTATTCACTTCAGACATTGTAAAGTGCAGCAAAATTAAAAATTATGATCTTGAATAATAATCTGAAAAGAGAAAATGTGAGAACCAAAGGACATACTGTAGTAAAGTTTATGATACTACTTATTATTTCTCCTGTGTTTCTCTTTAAAATTTCAAATGCAGGTCAACTTCTTTTGGACCGGTAAATATATTTTTTTTAAATGAAGTTGTTTATGATTACAAGTAAATAATTTACCCTGGATTAGAGTGAATAAAAACATAAGAGTAATATGCACAAACAAAAATGTTACAGACTTCATCTATCAGTCTATTGCCCAGAGATTCAGCAAAACCCTGACTTATCTTAGTAATGCTGTGAGCTAAGTGAATATTCACAGTAATTCACCTGTGCCATAAATAACACTGTAAATCCTTCAAACAAATACTAGCAACTCTGGCACATTGTCATCCAGATGAGGTAGACTAACACTACTTGAAGACATGAACCCTGCCTGAAGAGTTACATCCGGCCAAGACTGGTAAGGTGGGGTGAAGAGCGGTGACACTTGCAACTGATGCAAAGTGTTCTCCCATAAAATTGTGTTTCAGTTGTCCATCACACCCCCAGATTTCCACCTGCAAGCAGAATGGGATACATAATTACCTTATTATAGTATTTAAATATTTTTAAAAGTACAAATGTGATAGGTTTCAACTTAGACTTCATTTACAATGAAAAATTTAGTCTACATATCAATGTTTTGAAAATGTTCTTATAATCAAAATAATATAACATCCATACTGCATTAGCACAACTACTACCACTACTTTGCTGTCACTCATAATCGAGTACAGTATGATGATCATCCAGTGAGGACAGAATGATACAAGGTTATCAACCCATTCACTACTGGAAACCACTTTCAATATTTTATTTAGCACAGAGAAACTCCCAGTACCCCCAAGAGGCTTATAATGTCACCTTCGTTGGTGAATTCAGAGGTGACTCGAGAGCCCAATAAGGAACCGGCAGGATTGTCTGCACATGTTGCATGAGTGGAGGGTTAAGTGTAGTGCAGGAGGGGCAGAGGAAGCGGTGTCTTTCTAGCTCTGGCATTGGTTGCATTGGTATATAATTGAGCTACCTGGACAGTAGTAACACCTTCTCATGTTGTGCTCATCCAAACATTATGGTGTGGAGTGATGGTCTCCCAGATGCAGGAGTCGATCTGGCACTTTTCAAGACTATCCTTATACTGTACCTTTTCTGTTGTCCATCAGCATTGTTTGCCATTCTTTAAATGACCACAGAGTAGCTGCTTTGGCAGTGTATTGTTGTCCATGCAGATAACATCTGCTGCTTATTTTGCAACACACATCTGACTACTATTGCATGGTCCTTCTGGCCATTCCAGTAGATTTACTGTGATGTAAACTTACACAGAATTGCTACATTTCACAAATCACACCAGCCACTGTACCAGGTGGAAGTGATGCTGGGTGTACATCACAAAACTGTCTTGCATAATGTTATACCCAGAGAAGAGTTAAAACTGAGAGTTCCTTACTCTTCGTTGTTGCAGAAGTGAACCCACGACTATCAAGTCTTCACGGCAGGGAACATAATGAGCCTTAAAGGTGGTCAGCCATCTCCCAGTCTGGTTGTTGTGTGGGATTTTTCGTTCAACTGAAAAAAAAAAAAATTAGTTACAGTATATGAGTTTGAACACTGCAAATACTGCACCACCATACCCAAAATATTCAAGTTACAAAATGTATCACTATACTGCACCATAATACATAATATATTCAAGCAATAAAATGAGTCACTAAAATGCACCATAATACATTCAAGCAAGAAAATGAGTCACTATACTGCATAATACATAATATATTCAAGTAACAAAAGGAGTCACTATAATGCACCATAATACATAATATATTCAAGCAAAAATAAAAGCAACTTTATTAATGTAACAAGTTAATAAAATAACACAAAAGCCATTCAACTTGTTAAGTGAATAATGTTAACTGATTAAGCAAATACTGTACAGTACTAGATTTGTGATGCTAACTGCTAACATTATATGAAGACTGAGAAAAATAAAACTACACTAAACAGTTTTATCGACACACAATAATAAACTTGAGGTGAAGTAGTAGAGTACAGTACAGTGAAGGCTCTATTTAATGGACACCATTTTCTCCATTTAACCAACTAATTCGAGCCGCCCCTTTCTGTTAAATCAAACTTTCTGTTATTTTTGCTCGATTTAGCGAACTAGTTCACTAAATCCCGCGTGAGTCTGTTAAATTTTGCGTTGCTTGGCGTGTGGAGTTTGTTTACATCCGCTCAGTGTGTTGTTCACTGCTACCTCATGGTCAACTAACTACTGTACTGTGCTTAGACATCATGCTGAAAGTCTCACAGAAGTCTCAGAAAGGAAGTGGTGTGGGGGAGAGTGTGGCTATTAATTGGAAAAAAGTTTGGAAACAATCACCTAACCCCCTAGCTTAAGGTAAACCATGAATAATGGTTCTAATGTTTATATGTACAGGTAGTTCTGCTATAACGCGATAATTGTGTTCTTGTAAAATATCGTGTTATAGAAAATCGCGTAATAGAAATAACAGGGCTTATGGAGAAAATAGGGTTAGGTGCAGATTACTCGAAATCGAAAAAATTTAGTAGTTAGCCTAACACAAAGGATAGCACAGTCTAAATAAATGTTACATTCATATCTAATAATGAAATCATACAGTAAATGTAACACTTTACTTGATGGGGGAGAAGGGTGATTTTGAGGTTGATAAAATCGAGCTTCTCTTCAAGTGTTATATCCTTTCTTTTACGATCATCACCAGGAATTCTATCACCAGAACGCTTCTTGTTGATATTCTTCTTTACACAAAATTGGAGAAATAGTAAGCAAAAATCGCGTTATAGCAAACAAGCGTTCGCGTTATACAAATATCGTTCCTAATTCGTAAATTGCGTTAGAGCAAATTCGCGTTATCAAAACACGCGTTATAGCAGAAATCACTGTACTCTACATATCATGTGTCCGAGGTGTCTCTGTAAGTGTAAGCATATTAACGGAATTGATCTCAATATAGTGAACTAGTTCACCAAATCGAGCGAAAAATAACGAAAAAAATTCCTTCCACTAAATTGAGAGTTCGTGATATTGGATTCCGTTAAATCAAGGGTATACTGTACGGTATATGGAGAGGAAAATCCATTATATCGACGGCCCATTATACAGGGGGTCCCCGGGTTACGTCCTGAGGACGTTCTTAAGTCAGAATGACAAAATACAGTAAAGTAAAAAATAAGTCATCAGGTAAGTAAAATACTGTAAATTTAAAGTTGAACCCCGTTCGTAAGTCGGGGATCCCCTGTAAATGAAACCGCTACTTAACGAATTATAGTGATGAAAGTTCATTATAACAAAGCTCCATTAGATATGAAACCCCCAACTAACGGATTATACAATACAGAGAGATGAGTCCGTTATATTGAGGTTTCACTGTAGTCCCAGATGAAGAGCAAAGTGTTTACCTCTCAGGTCCGTCAGATCACAGGCTATGAATCGTAAATTGTTGTCCATGCAGGTTGATATCAAGGACTTTCCTGTAATGGTAAACACGATTATAAATAAGACAAGGAATCAAGATGTCATAACCTAATGCTACAAGCTTCTCTTTTATTAATCATCAGCAAATAATACTCAACAGGTTAACTTCTGTAACGTAATGTAATTGTCATAACACTGTAGCCTCCCATCAGACCTCCAGTATAAATATTAGACAAACCTGTTAATGGAGAAAATTGTAGACCAGTGATACTCCTTCCATGAGCACATGTGGCAATTGGGATATTTTTTATGTGGTGACGAACATCCCACAGGCAAACACTTCTGGAATTATTATTTTTTTTTTTAATTTTCAAAATTCATATTTCATTACATAACTTGGCAAACAGTCACTCTCCACCTGACTGAAAAAATGGCATGACTTTATTGGGTACAACAACAAATAAAGAAACCAGGACAAAACTTGTGACCCCCATACACTGCTCCCTTGCTTAACCTGGAGATTGTGTTCTCAGAAAATGCCGTGTAGAGCTAACCCATTATAAAAAGGGAGACAGGGGATGTGTCAGGCAGACCCCCCTCCACATACACACACACCAAAAATATTAAAAAACCAAAGTTCAAAGACATTTGCTGCTCTAAGTAGCTCATTAATACACCTACAGCTACCAAATTCACTCAAACATGATGTTGTGGAGGCACTGACATGTTCATGAACTCAGTTCACAAAAGTTTAACACAGCAGCCATTTGCAGAGCCTGGCTGAGTCATGCGTGGCCTCCCTCAAGCCTCACCATGGCAACCCGGCCTGGCTGGGGACTTCCATTAGCAATGCTCCCCCTCCTACTGGCACACCAAGAAATGTTTAATTATTTTATGTTTTTGACCTAATGGTGATTAATTTTTCTTTTTCTTTTTTGCACATTCTGTATGTAGGATTGTGTGTGCATATAAATGAATAAAAAATTACGAAGAAAGTTATCTTTATCTCCCCCCAAATTACAACTTTTAATTTTCTCAACTTTCCTCTTGATTGACTCGTTCACGGAGAAACCACTCTGTCAGAGTGGGCTGACTGGCCTCTCTCTAGTCATAAGAATGTCTAAACTTAAACATGATGAATCAGTATTTAAGTGAGAATAATAATTATTCTGTACTCATGCATGATGGCGGTGGCGGTGGATTGGCCTCACTCGAGTCGTATAAGAATGTCCAATTTATTCTCTAGAGTAAATGTGGTCCTGCTCTTCTTTGCTGGAGTGTCCCTAGGCAGAGGGGCACTTAGAGAACATTTAGGTGAAGCCATGGTGACAAAACCAAGCAAAGAAAACTGAAGTTAATCCAATTAAAGTTTTCTATTGTGGCCGGACTGAGCACTAGCTAAACTCTGAGACCACGTGGCCTGGGGATGCTACCCATGGACTATAATGGACTCAACCACTGGCCTGCAGAGGATACTACTCATGGACTGTAATGGACTCAACCACTGGTCTGCAGAGGATACTATTCATGGACTGTAATGGACTCAACCACTGGCCTGCTGAGGACACTACTCATGAACTGTAATGGACCCAACCACTGGTCCACACACAATGTTTTCTACCAAACAATGTTTGCCCGAACTTTCCCACGTTAGCCCGGCTTAACTTGCGTTCGAGTAAATCTGAGACCCATGTTAAGCAATACCGGGTAGTAATAAAAAAAAGTGTTCGAGCAAACCCGCATCAAGCGGAGGGGTGGGGGGGGTTCAATAAAGATACAGGTTGTACCTCTCTAGTCCGGCAACCTCGGGACCTGACCGGTGCCGGACCATGGAAATTCACCCTTTTCCTGGATAGATAGTGACTTGTGCTTATGCCTGGAAGCACTAGCACCACTTTCTCTGCGTCATGGTCTCTTTGAAGACATATTGAAGGGTTAAATGTCGTATAGTAGCTTCTCAAATTTCGCGAGTTTTTAATTCTTAACGTATTTTATTGGAACACACAAAAAAATAAATAAATAAAAATTTTGACGGCGGAAACTTGAATTTTAACTGGTTTGAATGGCCCGCCAACGTGCAGACGACGTGCATAATCGTGTAAACAGCGTCATTTCTCTTATGTACAAAAGATTCATTATTGTTTATTACTGAATGTCTTTTTTATTGAATTAATGTTTATACCGTATATCACGGCCTATAAGACGAAATTTGAACATTAAAAAAATCTGCCCAAAGTTAGGGGGTCGTCTAAACCACCAAGTTTAAAATTCTTACCTCTTAAATATTGTGGTTTAGTGTGTCAAAAGTGGTGATGAAAACATCGTAAGCCACTCACAAGGTCTTACCACTAATTATTTTATACTGAAACTTACGTTTGGCAAGCTGGATTCAAATTAAGATTACCGGTATATTAAAATAATAAAAATGTATTATAAACCTGTCTAACATACCGTAAAAGAGATTTATACCCCTATAATAAACACAGCTATCATCACACACCCCTCCCCACGCCCCCCCCCCCATTTGCCAGTGAGGAGCCGTGGAGGTGGTCAGTAATGCATACCGGTATCGGTATATTTACTCATAATAATATTTATCTCCTATAAATAATTGATTTAAATTTTATTTTTTTCCAAAGAATATTCAGTAAATGAGTGCATTAATTCTTGAAACTATCGACGGTTAATTACAGACGCTCAAGTGACGTCACTAGTGTTTACACTACACCAGCTGGTAATATTTGATGCCATTACTTGAAGTGAATTGGCCTTATTTTAAGTAACTAACTATAAATAAATACAAAAATTAAAAAAAAAGATCAAAACTGAGAAATAATATACTGTATGTATGTTGTGTTGTCAAAGTAAGAGGAACAATTGTGTAAGTACGTAATATTTTTTCACTCAAATCCTAATGAAACACTACTGGAGAACATTCCTTTGTCGCAAAACAGTTTATAAATTAAAGAAAATAATTACAGTGTGTTTAATATATTACAGTATATTATAAATAAATAAATAAAACAAATAATTCGGTAAATCTATTTAAAGTAAATGGAAAATAAGCAAACATGTTATTTACCAAGACCCTTCCGTCTGGCTCAGGGTGAGATGTAGGGGAGATAAAGAAGGCTATTTATAGCCCATCAGAAGTGACCAGTACCCTAATGCACCATAAATAATTCATTGAACATTCATTTTTTGTACATAGTATATTCAGTATATATATATATATATATATATATATATATATATATATATATATATATATATATATATATATATATATATATATATATATATATATATATATATATATATATATATATATATATATATTTGTGTAATAAATGTATGTAGTAAGTACATACTGGTAACCTTTTTCACTCAAATCCTAATGAAACACCACAATTAGAATACGGTGGTTGCTGTTGAACCACATGTTGTATAAATAGTCACACCACCGAGACGAGGGAACACTCCCACCACGCTTCAGTGACGTCACTAGTGTTTACACTACACCAGCGGGTATAATTTGATGACATTACTTGAAGTGAATTGGCCTTATTTTAAAAAATCAAGGATGGTTGGTAAAGGACTACTGAGTCAGTGGGTAAGTGTCACATTTGGGGTACTGGTCTTATACAGCAAATAGAGCTCAAAAGCTACTTTTTAAATGGAAATTTGGGGGGGGCGTCTTATGCACCCCGCCGCCTTATAGGCCGTGATATACGGTATGTGCAAAATGAGCAATACAATTCATTAATAATACGTAGAAAATTAAAACACATGAGGAAATGACACAGCATTGTTTTCGTTGATTACAAAACCAGTGACTGACTGGTTCTACATATAAAACTGAAGAAAATAAGACCTTGGTTGTAGCTGTAGTAAAATCAATATGGTTGTTTTAAGTAATGTTATTTAATGTTAATAAATGGAACAATAGAAGTAGCTAACGATAATGGTAAAGAAAAAGAGAGATCGCATATGTAAGTGCGCATGCGCACACGTGAAAACATATCGTCATTACTTTACATAAGAATATGAAAGCAACACTTATTTACTGTTCATATATATTTTAATTAATGTTTCTGAATTTGTTTTTATTGAATTAATGTACGTGTGTGCAAAATTAACAATACAATTTATTAATAATACGTGGAATATTAGAGGAGACGAGACGGCTGCCGGCATTGTTTATGTTAAAGCTTACGAAACCAGTGACTGATTGGTTCTACATATAAAACTGAAGAAAATAAGACCCTGAGTTTAGCTGTAGTAAAATTAATGTAAAAAATGAATATGGTTGCTTGAAGTACCTGTAATGTTATTTAATGTTAATAAATGGAACAATATAAGTAGCTAACCATTAATGGTAAAAAAAAAAGTGAGACTGCTCGTATGTAAGTGCGCACATGTGAAAATATATCGTCATTACTCTACATAAGAATATGAAAGCAACACTTATTTACTGCTCATATATATTGAAGGGTTAAATGTTGTACTCTGTATAGACAAGCAGAGAGAGAGAGAGAGCAGCCGAACTGCCGGATGTAAACAAACCTTAATTTCCCGCGGCTTTTTTTTTTTTAAGGGGATTAGCCCACCCGGGCATAGGTCACTGACCCACATTGGGGCCTGAGGGGCAAAAATTTAATACTCCTGTAATAATAATAATAATTCAGATAAAAAAAAAAAAAGCTGCCTATCTACCTATCGGACAAACTAAAATCGTTCCGGACCACGGGAGTTTCCGGACCACAGAATGCCGGACTAGAGAGGTACAACCTGTACTGAAAATAAAACTTACTACAGGTTGTCTCAGAAAAATTTATACATGCCCCTTACAGATTCTCATAGTAATTACACAAATGCTTGAAGCATAGCAATGTAAAACTGTTCTCACTTGTAGAAGACCTTGTATACCAGCAAGTGATGACAATGCTTCTGTTGTAATACTGTACAGGTACAAGCATTCTTGTGGTCACCATAATAATCTATCAGGCAGTATGTATAAATTTTTTCTGAGTCACCCTGTATAGTACAGTATATACTTTTGGTTTTCATGTTTCAAAATAATAAAATCACACAAATAATTATAAACCTAATAATTAGCACAAATTGATCTTCTAAATTTAGGAGGAAAAAAGATACAAAATACATCACAACTGAACTACTGACTAAGTTGTGCCAACATCTCATGTCCTCAGTAACCACTGTACAGTATTACACAGCAGTTAACTTCTTGTTAAGAGAAGAATATTGCCACCATGGGCAGCTGGTGATCTAAAACCATGGTACGGTACCAAAACATTAGTCTTGGTACAAACCCACAGAGCCGATACAAAAAAATCTATATGAAATCACGTTAATATCTTTTAAAGAAATACCAAACTTTTCTTACCTTATAACTTCATGTATTCCAAAGGAGTAAATGACTGAATCTAAAACAGAGGTAGTCAGTGGCATGATGGTGTCTTGTACAGTAGCTGGGTGACCTGGGTCTGCTTTATATGACCTGATCTAATTTTATCAGTGTTGTCAAACTGCTTACCCTAGGGTCAGGAGTCTTACCTCAGCTACTTAACCTAACCTAACCTCACACCTGCACCTGATTGCCTGACCTCAGAAAATTGACCACATAAATCCCTGATCCAACCAAACATTGCTTCCCTTGACGCAAGCTTGATCCCCCCACAGCAGACACCCGTGATTGCCACAGGGACAGATTCCACCAAAACTAGGAGAGCTTAGTCAAAAGGAGCACAGTACTGACATCATCATTTCACCAGTGTACACCATCAAGAGATGAAATTCCTTCAAAACTAACCCATCTCGTGAGGCCGTGGCAAAATAGTGGTTCTGAGTTGGGTGAACCGTCACCAACTTGACACTCGTCTTGTTGTGAACCAGGTACTCCACGGGCTTCTTCTCCGCAGCTCGCAAGTCAACCTGCAAAATTAATTGACATCTGAGCCATCGATGGAATGATTCATGTATTATGTCTGAAGATTATTTATGATTGATTGTAATGAGACTACAGTAAACCCTCGAAGATCCGGACTCGGTAAATCCAAATTTCAGAAGATTCGGACAAAAAATTTGGGGGTTCTGGGCTAAGAAGCCTCCCTAAGAAAGCATTCCCAAAACAGGGTGAAGGTAGTTTTAGGCTTAAAGTTTTTATCTTATAAAATGTCACAGACTAAAGTTAGCAGAATATAAATTGCATTGCTGGAATCCTCGCAAAACAGCAATTAATTTGAGTACAGATATCATATATTTTGCGTGAGATAAAAATTTAAACATTTAGTGTAGTACATTTGAGTACAGTAATATGTTGCTCAAAATTATGGTTTTTCACAGGAAAATGTGTATATAACTAACCCCAGTAGTCAGGATAATATGTACTGTATTTTTGGTGTTTTTTATATCATTATTTATAATTTCTATACATTAGTACATTCGCCGGAAGATTCAGACAATCGGCTTTTCCGGACAGGTAGTCCCCCCTTTTAGTCCAGATCTTTGAGGGTTCACGTCATTTGATCTTTGCTTACTGTGCAGAAACCATTTGCATGAAGACAGGTGGATAGCTCAGAGCCTATAATATTTCACCTGGTTCTGGTGAGAGAAAAACTGACTAGCCACACATAACAGCTGGTGTTTCCCTACACCCTCTCTGGCACACATCAACATTACCAAGGTTCTCTCTTACCAACTTGTACATCTTATTTCTCTTTAAAAAATGTCTTTCTTCTTCTATGCTGTCTTTTCTAAATGTCTCACTTTTGCTTTACTTCAAGTTTATATTTTTTCCAACCAAACCCCATTTTTGATAGAAATATAAGGCCAAAGTTTCAGTTATGTAAACTAACAAACAAAGCTGGACATTTTCAGTACAGGTACTCCTCGATTTACGACAACCCGGACATACGACCGCCGTGGTCGTATATTATTATTTTTCAAATTAGGTATTTTCTAGTACTGACGTTAGTGATCGCGCTGTACTGACAAAATTTTCGTTTGTAATTCCCTTTAAAATGGCTGGCAAGCTTAAAAGTGAGAGTTCTCGTGGTGCTGAGAAGAAAAGGAGACACCCATTTTAGATTTTCTATGTATTATTTTCGCATTTTCGACTTACGTCCTGGTCATCGGGAAGGAACCCCGTCGTAAGTCGAAGAGAGACTGTACTGTATGTACCACCCACAACAAACCTTGTGTGTCTACTTGTGTACAGTAATTGCCTGTATATGTGATACACAAGACTGTACAGTATAATGTACTCAAGGACATACACATATAGTAAATAAATAATATATATGTGAAGTACAGTATACATACATTTATACAAGATATAATTATCCGGGGCTGAACACTAGCTTGTCCCAAACAAGTACTGAGTGTATCTCTGGCAATGATGCCTCTTTATTATAATGTTTGTTTCTCCCTTTTGTTGTTTAAAATAAAGAAAAATTATTAAAACAAAAGAAACCAACACAAATGCATCACCATGGATTTTGTTTTAATTTTGAGTCAAACAACACAAAGTGTGCAGCGCATAACACACTTTGCCAGTCAGCTTGGCCTCCAGACTCATCATTAGGACGCTGACCCCTAACAATGGAGGGCTTCCACACACCGCTCCCCCACTCAGTGTGCTCACTCTCGCACATGAAGAACTGTTTATTCTCCATCCTTTTTTTTACTTTTTTTTTTTTTTGCATATTCTGTTGAAAAATTACCATAACAAAACTCACAGCTTGGCCTAGTAGCAAGAGAGCTATGGGGATGAGTCTCACATGGCAACAAATGCCACTAGCAATGTTAACAGATACAAATGTAAAGAAATTTATTTGGTATAAATTCATGCGCCGGTTAACGTCCTAGATACGTTCTTGGAAACGTGACGTTAACCGAAATGGACGTTGTCCGATCATCACATAAACTTTGTATTTATACTTACGTGTATGTGGAATACTATATACGTACATATATACTCTTACTCATAAATCACTACTGTAATGTGATACAGATGATTAATTTTTATCTCTTGTGCAAAATACATGATGTTTATATTAAAATTATTCACTGTTTTACAAGGATTCCAGCAACGCTGGGCAGATGGGGGAGAGAGAGGGTGTGGGGGGGCGTGGGGGGAGGGGAGGTAGTACGTTTGACAGTTGGCACAGGCCCAGGTCTAACGCGTGTATATTTATCAGTTCTTAAGTGACTAAGCTTCTCTCTTATAAAAAGCCAGTGAAATGACCTGGGTGAATATAATTTATATTGCTAGGATTCTTGTAAGATGTTGATTAATTTAAATATAAACAACCTATAATTCGCACTAGACATAACAACTTTAGTACCATAATCAAATTAGTACATGTGCACTCCAGCTTTGCACTAATGTCATTTATTTCTTTTACTTTTCTTTTAGTATGGTGTGTGCATGTAAATGGATGAAAATAAATGAAGAAATTTATGTAAATCTACCCAAAAATACAGTTGAAAAACTTTATATTATAAAATGTACTACAGTATTGTACACTAATGCACTACAATTTTTATCTCTTGAGTGAAATATATGACGTTTATATTTAAATTAATCTCTATCTCTGTCTTGCAAGGATTTCAGCAATGCAAATTATATTCTCCTATAGTCTGAGATATTAGATGAAAAACTTAAGGCCTAAAACCCCCCACGCGAGCGAGCGTGGGGGGGGGGGAGGCGAGCGGGAGGTGAGGTGGTATGTTTGACTTGGCACTGCCTCTAACGCGTGTTTATTTATCAATTTTTAAGTGACTAAGCTTCTCTTTTATAAAAAACCAGTGAAATGACCTGGGTGAATATAATTTATATTGCTAGGATTCTTGTAAGATGTTGATTAATTTAAATATTAACAACCTATAATTTGCACTAGACATAACAACTTTAGTACCATAATCAAATTAGTACATGTGCACTCCAGCTTTGCACTAAGGTCATTTATTTCTTTTACTTTTCTTTTAGTATGGTGTGTGCATGTAAATGGATGAAAATAAATGAAGAAATTTATGTAAATCTACCCAAAAATACAGTTGAAAAACTTTATATTATAAAATGTACTACAGTATTGTACACTAATGTACTACAATTTTTATGTCTCGAGCAAAATATATTACGTTTATATTTAAATTAATCTCTGTCTTGCAAGGATTTCAGCAATGCAAATTATATTATCCTAACTTTAGTCTGAGATATTACATAAAACAAACACCTTAAAGCATAAAGAAATCACCAATCTTTTGTCTGGGAACACAAGGAGGGAGGCAAGGAGGGAGGTAGCCAGCGAGCGTGGGAAGAGGGGGGGAGCAGGGGGGGGAGCGAGAGGTGAGGTGACAGAATGTCTGGCGTTTGTTTGTTTATTTATTTGAGATATGATTTGACAGTTGGCGCTGAAGGCCTGCCAGCGTATTTATTTATCAAAATTTAAGAGTGACTAAGCTCTTCTCATAATTTGCCACCCAAACGACCTGGGTGAATATAACTTACATTGGAGGGATTCTTGTAAGACAGTGATTTATTTGAATACCTGTATAAACAAGCTACATTTGCAATAGACATAACAATTTTAGCACATGTACAGTAGAGGTTTGCACTTAGGTCCATTGTTAACCGAGGGACCACTGTATTGCAGTGTACTTGTACTGTACAATATTAAGTAAATTCACTAGATAATGTACACAACTAATGGTTGGTAAAACTTGTCAAGTAAGTGAGTGTCAAGTCTGTCAATATGAGTGGCACGTGTGAGTTCTTGTGTCCCCCATCATAGGAGTCCGTTTTCTCTCGCTTCAGGACGCCTGAGACCTCCGTTTTCTCTCTTAATCTTAGAGTGCACCAGAGACTTCGTTATTCCTTAATAATGACACAGAACTTGAAATTGCAACCCCAATTGCAACTGGGGTTGCAATTGTTGAGGCAACTAGATATGTCTGATTACAGCAAATAAGTTATTGTCAATTTGTAGGTGAAAGATTTTATCCTCAATAGATGTAGGTTAACATTAGACCTGGAGGCAAATGCTTACTAAAGCCTAGGGAAGGATATTTCTTTAACACATAATATCTGGCCAGTATGGAAAGGATCATCGTGTCTCCGTCAGGGGGTCATGGAGTGGTGGTCCAGCAGACGTCACGGAAGTTATTTTGGGGGGGGGGGGGGACCACGGACGTATATGCGATCGGATGTTGTTCGGTTGGACGTTAACCGGCGCATGACTCTACTGGAGTATACGTACACAATAATACTGATTGTTATTTTATTTAATAAAAGTAATAATGTGTTTAAGCAAACAATAACATATTTCAAATTCTGGAGTTGGGTTAGGTAGAACTTAGCCTACTGGAAACATTATGTCTGATAGTATATGTCGTAAAAAATGGTATTTTCTCTTATAACACCTGGGTCGTCGTCACCGGCCCAACAGTGCGCTGGCTCCCCGTATGTGATGTCATGGCAAGCTAACTGATAATGACGGAGAAATGAGCAATAATCTGAATAAATATTTTTCAACAGTTTTCACCACCGAAAATTTAAACATGATACCTGAGGCACAGACAAGATAACAGTGACGAGTAACGATGTTAGTAAGAGAATGGACAAACTAAAGCCTAATAAGTCACCAGGTCCCAATGAGATATTTGCCAGAGTATTAAAGGAATGTAAGGAAGAGCTTAGCATGCCCTTAGCAAATTTGTTTAACATGTCCTTAAAAATGGGTGAACAGTGGTCCCTTGGTTAACGAACTCAATTCATTCTAGAAGGTCGTTCGTTACCAAAAATTTCGTTAACCGAAACCATTGTTTCAATGGGATATTGGGTAATTGGTTCCAGCTCACAGAAAAGTATATACAAAGTAAAGCCAAAAACAGTCAGAAACACTCCTAAAATTCCTCTAAATCTTCCCTAA